AGATAGATATTTGTAGATATCCAGGAATTTCCTTGTACTGTAATATTGGAGGTTCATAAATTCACTTCTTTCTCTCTCTCTCTCTCTCTCTTTTTTTTTTTTTTTTTTTTTTTTTTTTTTTTTTTTTTTTTTTTTTTACTCGGAGTGTCTTGAATTTCAAACAAGTGGTTTATAGCCTCTCTCACATAATGTTATTCCCTCGTTTTCGTCTACATTCTCTCTCTCTCTCTCTCTCTCTCTCTCTCTCTCTCTCTCTCTCTCTCTCTCTCTCTCTAAACTCTCTCTCTCTCTCTCTCTCTCTCTCTCTCTCTCTCTCTCTCTCTCTCTCTCTGGTGAGCCAAGCACCCTATTACTCAGCAACGGAATTAGCACAGCTGAAATTAAGCAGTGATTAACATACACGCAACGTTTTTAAATAATGCTTACAAAAAAGAAAGGAAAAGAAAAAAAAAACATAATTTCAAAATATTCACACTCCTCTTCAGCATCTGGAAACTCAAACTTCAATATTCCCACCACACTCCACATCTTAAGAAGAATCTTCACATTAGCAGCAGTATTCTCTGATAAGATTCCTAAGTCTTCAAGATCTGTTCAGATAACTTCTTCTTCCAAGGACTAGCGTGCTTTAGCATAAGAAAAGTATTGGGGTGATGATAACAGATAAGATCGCACAAGCAACTTCTACTTTGTTTTGCTAATGTTGCATGCAATAGCGGGAATTAGCGAATCAACACCCGCTTTGGATCTCGTTCATGATGATGCAAGGGCAGTCTGTCTCTATATTCTTGTTGTTGTTATTGTCATTGTCGTTTTTTATTGCCCTTATTGTTATCAGCATTACGTTTTACAACTGTCACTGTTATTGGTGTTGTTGTTATTGCTGTTATCATTTCTATTATCATTACTATCATTATTATTATCACTATCACTATCATTACTAGTGGTAATGATAGGAGTAATATCGTCACCCTCATTATGTTATTATCATTACAATTATCATTATATCTTAAAAATTCTATCTTAGTTACACATTATTTGTCTGAAGAGAGAACTGACACACTGAACGAATCAGTAATAAGGCATGATTGATATACTGAGCAGGCACACTGAATTATAATTTTCATTTGTGTATGTGTGTGTGTGTGTTTTGCTGTTGCGTGAAGATTCATTATTCTGTGTGTGTATGCAGATTACTCTTAGTATTGTTTGTATGTGTAGTGTGTGTTGTCATGTGTGTGTGTCGTGGTGCAGTAAGATCAAGTTTTGCATACCTAATGAGCCAGCGACTAAGATTATAGGCGTATTGTTAAAAATTAGACGAATAACTAACATCTTGTGTTAGCGTGTGTGTAAATATTATGAGATATCTGTTACTATTCTAACGACGTGTGTGTGTGTGTCTGAGTGTTAAAATAATCGAGAAAGTACACTCATTATAAATGAAGTGTGTCCGCTGTCTTGCGTCAGAGTTTGTGTAGTGTGTTTTGCGTGTGTTGTGTGTGTGATAAGGTATGTTGTGTGTGTGTGTTTGCGTGTGTATGTGATCTGTTGTGTAGCGTGTGTGTGTGTGTGTGTGTGTGTGTGTTGTGTGTGTGCTGGTGTGTGTGGTGTGTGTGTAGTAGTGTTGGTGTCGTGTGTGCTTGCGTGTGTATGTATACTCTAAGTGAACCATTCTCTCGTACGATAAAGACTTCTTGAACAAGGCATTATTAGGTGTGCTTTCTCTAATTGCTGCGTGTGTCGAACTACATGTTGAACTTACTGGTAGATAAAGTAATTTTGTGTTTGTGTGTGTGTCGGAAGCTATGCTTGGTGTTTGTGTTGTCTTGTGTGTGTGTGGGTGTGTTGTGTGGTGTATGTGGTGTTGTGTGTGTGTGTGTGTGTGTAATATTGACTTGATACTCTGACTGCAATATTGGCGCGAGCAGTAACAATAACACATAATTGGTTTTTGTGTGCGTGACTACTCTCTGTGTGTATGTGGATTGTGTAGTTCCTTAGTTATTACGCATATTGATGCGATAGAACTTGTGGTCAAATTCTCTTTTTGTCGTGTAGTCTGTTTAGTGTACCGTTACATGGTAGTCAATACCATATGTGACCACATACTCATAAATGCAAAGTGTTGGATCGTACGTAGCTATTATCGAGGTTTAGTGTGTGTGTGTCTTATTAAGTAATACACATGTTGGATTTATTAGTGCATGCTGTGTGAAGCAATATTTCCAGACAGGAAACAGTTATTGAATAGAAATTAATCCGGCAACAACTAGAAATATAAATCGGAGCTCTTCTCTCCTTAAAGAGTAAAATTGGGTGAATACGACAACTTGAGCATTGTGGTTTCTAGTATGCCATTAAATATATGAACTTTTCTACGCCGTTGTCTTCGCGAGTTTGCGTCCCAGTACGTCGTCGTCAGCATAGGTATATTACGGTAAGCAATATTGCTGATATTACTCGATAATTTATCGATTTGATGATGTGAATATGACCA